TTCAATGACCACTCAAGTGCACCATGAATTTAAAGCTTGAAAGGCATGTTAATAGCTACTGGCCTATTAAGACCACTTTTGTGAAACTCACTCAGGCAGACCACATTTAAGTGCAGCTCTGGGATATTGGCAAAATTCATGCCAACTTTGCAGCTTTTCCATATGGAACTTTTTATTAATATATTGTACTTTGCTGTTCAAGCTAATACACTTAATTGTGTCACTATGCAGGTGTTCTCTGCTATCATTTACACTGTGGCCAGCTGTACGGAGAATGAGTCTCACCGCTATGGACGTTTCCTCTGCTGCATGCTGGAGACGGTGACCCGTTGGCACAGTGACCGTTCAGTCTATGAGAAGGTGCCCACTGCTGCCTCCTCTCTACGCCTGCAACAGTCATTATTCTTTGTAACATTTTCTGACGTAAGACGAGCTGTGAATGAATCTGTCACTTTTTATTGTGTGCTCACAGGAGTGCGTTAATTACCCTGGCTTCCTGACAATCTTCAGAGCCACAGGCTTCGATGGAGGGAACAAAGCAGATCAGCTAGATTATGAGAACTTCAGGCATGTAGTGCACAAATGGCACTACATGCTGACTAAAGTGAGCTGCCCTTCCTTATTGTCATTGCTGTTAAAACAGATAAATACAGTTTAAGCTCTGTAGAGGGGTGTATATATCTAATCAATCCTCTCTCTGCTTCACTCAGGCTTCAGTTCACTGCCTGGAGACGGGAGATTACACACATATTCGGAACATTCTCATTGTGCTTACCAAGATCCTGCCCTGCTACCCTAAGGTCCTGAACCTGGGCCAAGCACTGGAGTGCCGTGTCCACAAGATTTGCCTTGAGGAGAAGGACAAGAGGCCAGACCTCTATGCCTTAGCAATGGGGTAACACAGCATTGTGTGCTGTTCAGCTCTCCATGGAGCTTACAGTTAACATATATATTGTGAAGTGTGATGATAACTTGGAAACATGGGGTCATGATTGTGGAAAAGGAGTAACGCATGTTATCTAAGTTTATAATTTAAATTTGTGCTCAGATAGGCATGGTGACTAACCTGTTATGAAAATGGATGGTTAGGTTTTTGCCTTTGTAGCTCTGGTCTGGACATGGGAGACAGTTTGGTTTTCTACTGTCTGTAATTCAGCCTTTTGACTTTTAAGAGCTGCTGTTAATTGGTAGAATCTGGGATTACAGAGGATGACAGTGAAGGACTAGCTGCTCTTGTTTTACAGCTGCAAATTGGCACAGAACCTGAATTTCTGAAATCCTTGAGAGACTAATTATTATCCACTTCCATGCTCACTATCTATTGTGTTTGTTTATAGCACAATATACAGGGGTTTGCTGGGTAGAGGTTGTGCTGATGAAGATCAGTTACTTGAATTTCCCTCTTTCTCAAAGTTGTATTGTGACACTGTGACAGTAGTTCTTTTGAGATTGTAGTGCACTGTGCAAATGCTTTATGCGTCTTACAGTTATTCAGGTCGGTTGAAAGCCCAGAAGGTGCACATGGTCCCTGAAAATGAGTTTCACCACAAGGAGCAGCCAGTACGCAGTGCCACCCCTGCCAATCAACAGAACGGCCCTGGCAGCACAGGCAAGCCTGCCACCAGCACGAGCAAGACAGAGGAGGGGACATCAGAGGATAGTGGTGAGTGAGCTTTCATTTGTTGTATGATATTGTCCCATTTTACTTTGTAGTACCATCACAGCTAAATCATTGTTTCATTGCTTCAGATTTGTGAGACCTGATGATAAAATGTGTGGGTTTTTTGTTTGTCTGATATTTTTGTCAGTGCAAGAAAAATGTAAATAACTTCTTGAATACCATAAAATGTGAACACAGGGATTCTTGCATACAGCTTTCAGTGCACTGCTGCTGAATCAAGGTTTATATCCACTATAAGTCAGCACATCTGAGCCAAATGTCTGTTGGAACTTTTTTTTTTTTTACATCTAATGGATGCTGCACATCCTAATATGCATGTCTGTAGTACTATTAAATCCTGTGCTCACCCAGCTCTTGGGTTTGTTTTTGTGCAGATCGGGGAAAGGATAAATCGCAGGGGACCACAAAACCAGTGAACAAAGCCAATAGTGCAGCAGCCAAAGTGACCACCAGCAATGGAAACAGTGCTGTCAACAGGTTGGCATCTGAACAGCTGCTTTGACATGAAGCTCTGTCAGTTAAAGCTACATACACATGAAAACGTAACATGAGTAATGATATTATGGTCAGTCAGTTCCCTGTTGGTTATTGGCTATGTCTTGTGATACAATAGCTCAGAAAGAATGTAATCCTGTATTTGGATCAGCAGAATCTTGTATGAAACCTTTAGAATAAACAATTTTGACAATCTCTTTGCAGCACCAAAGTTATTAAAGAGCGGGATGACAAAGAGAAGAGCGGAAAGGAGAAAAAAGAGAAAAAGGAAAAGACACCAGGCACCACTCCTGAGACTAAGGTGGAGAACCGTCGGGAGAAGCAGAGAGACGAGAGAACAGGGAAGGAGGAGCGGGTGGCACGTGAGGGTAAGGAGAAGACCCCCAAGGCAGACAGGGAGAAAGTGAAGGCAGAGGAGAAGAGCAGCAAAGACGACAAGGCCAAAGCCGGCAACGGGGAGCCCGTGGAGCCATCCAGGGAGCGCGACGCCATCAAGGAGCCCAAGAACAAGGAGAAAGGAGACAGGAGTGCTGTGGCCGGGGCCCTGAAGTCACAAGTTCCCAGATCAGAGTCAGCCGAATCTGAGAGGGGTAAGGAGCCTTTCTGTTTGTTTTACAGCTGAGTTATCCACACAGCTCCCGATAAGCATGGAAGCATTTCAACTGCAGTGTCACTTCCACATACAATGTAAAAGTATTCACCCTCCTTGGATTTGTTATTTACTCATTTAGAATAGATTTGCACTGAATTACGTGAGTGTGATTAGGATTTTGAGAAGCCGTATGTTCCGTTATTTCAACTGAATTTATTAAATTATTACAACAAATTGAATAAAATGCTTCGAGATCATTTATCATTTTGGAACAGCGTTTGTTGCTTTTTACAGCATGTCAGTCACAACCAGAAGAATGGAGGTTTATCTTAAACACAAACTTCACTCCTCTTGTCTTAACAGATAACAAAAGACGAAAGCTCGACAGTCACTCTTCTCCGTCCCACTCCTCGTCTGTTAAGGTTAGTATGGCTTGAGGAAGGCTGTGCCCGTTTCTTCTCTGTCTGCCGGAGCGTTCCCTGCCGTTGCACATTCCAGCAGCAGCCCTGAAGATCACCGATGAAGAGTTGTCGTACATGCAGGCATGGCATCTGGAAATCCCAACCAAATCCATGGGAGTTGGAAAGCATTCCATGGACATCAGCATATTTTGCAGAATTGGGAGAAAACCTCTCAAGGACTTAGCCAAGAGAATATTGTGTATATCAAGTATTTTCATATTGAAATGGTTATCTATTTTCATATTAATGAAAGCAGTCGGTGTGCCTTGGGAAGAAAGGATTTTTTAAAGCTTTTCTATATTCCTCGTGGATTTTTTTTCTTCTTTTTTGAGAAGATTCTTCACCTGAAATAAAATGGCTTTTCAAAGCAAGACCTTTCACTTTTTCCAATGGCAAAGTTTGTTTTTCTTTTCCTCGACAAAGAGCAGTATTTTGCTACTTGAAATGGTGCCCAAGATTTTTTTCCCCTTTTTTTGTGAGCTGAGAAGAATTATTAAAGTGATGTAAAGTATTTTGGTTTTCCCTCAACGTGCCCAGTTCCAGCGCACTGTCAGATGATCTCCAGCAAACCACTGTGCTGTCGAAGCACCTCTCTGCTGCGCCTTTGAGTCACTGGTCCCTCTTCTATCTCCGTTTGTAAAAACGGCCTGCATGCAGTCTTCACGTCACACAATGAGTGTTGAGTGTGTCCCTTCTGGTCCAGCCCCCTTCAGCGCTGTCCCCACAACTACCAGCCATCCACTTCTACAGTCCTACTACCTCCTGGCAAGCATTCAGTGGAAAATCAGAGCCACCAGCATCTGAGATCAACAAAACGATTGTTGCACTTTTGAATCAGCCAAAAATGCAAAGGAAAATAAGCC